TTGGGGACAAATGGATTTCGAAATCCAGCCAAGAACAGTAGCCTGATTTAAAGCCTCATTTGCTACAAGGAATTTATAAGGAGAAAAATCAGGGAGCAAAACAAAACACAGCCAGAAAGTCATTTTAATAGGTTTAAGTCCTCTCACCTCAGAGAAGCTGGACAGAATTTCATAACCTTGACAGCCTTTGTTGTGGTAGAACTTAGGAATTATGGGGTTTAGCTTACGATTTGTGATACTGAGTTAGTTCTTGCAGGTAAGAAAATAAAAGTCTCCACATTTGCTTACGATTCTGAAATGAGGCCCATCTAGCCTCAGTGAGTCTGACTTAAATCCCCGAAATGTCACGGAATAGAAAGTGACGGCCACGGACAGGCATCAGCTTACTGATCCTCCGGGAAGCGTCAGCGCTCTCCTCCTCGTCTCTGAAGTGCTTGGAGTGACCTGGCCCCAGCTCTGGTTTGGTGTGTTTGTCTGTTTCTAAACATAAATGGACTGTAGAAAGAATGTATGGGCTGCAGAATTTTATGCCCTGTATTGTATTAATAATTCAAGGAAGAAGCTTTCAAGAGTTCCAGCTACATACAAAAAAGAAAATCTGCTCTTCCAGTGTCTCCTGTCATTTCTTTAATAAGAGACCAATAAGGAAATGACAGAATAGGCCATTTCTTTTCAGACACAGAAATCATGCTAACATTTCTTTTTGTTTTGTTTTACATTTCACATAATTTGGTGGATGTTGGATTTCATTTGTGTCCTTTTTTTTTTTTTTGGTTTTTCTTGGACTGCTGTGAAGCATTCAGGTGGTTTTGTATTTTTGCCATGTCTTAATTTGTTTATAACCCTTGTTTTGATGTGACTTCTCTTTAAGTACGAAAGTAAAACATTTAAAAAAGGAAACAATAATTGCATTTTCATATTTGTATCACTTATATTTTACATACATAAAAGCTACCTCATATGCTAAGCTGCTGCTTTGAGGAGGAACCCATTTTCCATCACCTAAACCATAATCGCATTTCATCAAGCTCCAGGAGTCGTTAGGTAAGAAAGAAAGGGTTTTCATATTTAAGTGGGCTCTATTTGGACACAGCAGTGAAGTCTTGGTATTGGAATCAGGTTTCTTTTTAATTGACACAAACTTCCCACACATTAATAAACAAAAATCCACGTTACTGTACTGGATTTCATATTAAGTGATTTGGCTTTTTGTCTTTAATCTTTTTCTAGTCTACAGGCTGAGAAATGCTTTCCTCATACAACATGAAAAGTTATCAACAGTGTGTAGCAGCATTCTTATTACAAGCCCAAACGGAAAACATCAAAGTACATATTTCAGTTTTGTAGGTTTTGATTCTTCAGACTTCAGACTTTGATTCTTCAGGCTTCAAATGAAGAAAAATCTCACCCCAAGCTCCTTAAGGAACAGTGAGTGGACAGTTTTGTGTATTTCCCCCATGTACTTCGGGAAAGGCAGAAATTGGGAAGAGAGGAAGGATCTGGACATCTAGTCCCTATCAGGCTCAGAAACCTCAGAACTGACCGTTTCCTCACATCCCCAGCGCTGACACAGCCTCCCTCATTTTCTCCTGCGGCAGAAGCTCCAGAGCTGCTGTAAGATCTGCAGGGTCTGGAGGAAACGGGGGAAGAACTGCTTTGGATTGCATGGTTGACTTTTAAGATGCTCTGGTCAATTGCCAGAGCCCCAGTATACAAACAATATGATGTCAGCTTAAGTGAAGGGCTTCTGCAGTAATGAATTGTGTGAAGTCTCTTCATCCTTTGAAAATATGCCACTGATTTTACAGCTGTGGGGCTGAAGAGCAGCTGCCTGTCTGACTCTGGTTTCTGTATCTTAGAAGTTCCTTTCTCGTCTTTCCCCGGTAGGCTTTCATCAGGGCAGCAATGTGGCCAGACCTGCAGTTAATGCATTATTTTCAAGGACTCAAGTTTCCTCTCTGTCTGTTTTACAAGTTATGCCATTGGTTAAGAACTTCTGTTTCCACACAAAGTGAAAATTCAAGAAATTCAGTTTTCAAACTACTTACATTCTCAGTACTCGTCTTTCTAATTAGTCATCGTTGACTATTACGGTTCCTTGATTACTCACAACTGTTTATCCAACTTGCATACTATAGTCATCTAATCCGTTTGCGCTTTCAAATGTGATTAGAGATTACTTAGATGAATTAGATTTAAGAAAGAAAATGGGAAACATAGGCAAATGTTTCACAAGTCTTCAGTTTTAAAGAGCAAGTCAACAAATAAAAAGGAAAATATTAATCCAAATATGAGAAATTGTCAGCTTAACATTCACTATGTACATTTTATTTTTAACAGAAAACATGGATGGCACAAATCACAGCAGCAGTCTCTTGCTTCCCCAAGAGTCAGGAAACCAAGAAAAAAGCCTTACCCACATTGCCTGCCGAATCCTCGGAAATTTAAGGACCGAAACAAGTGGCACATCTTTTAAGACATTAAGGATTAAGGTATTCTTTCATTCAAACTTGTACCACTTACCTGTTGATGAGCTAGAAGAAAATGTGCATTTTAAAGAAGTTCTAGAACTTGAGAATTTGAGCTAGGAAATTCCTCAGGATAGTGGAATAATGACTACAACAAATTTGATATCCAGACTACCTTATAATGCTTCAGTCAGGCTCACAAGAGGTGTGAGCAAAGTATGGTGCTATTGCAATTCGTAACGGGTGAATGATCCGGTAAAAGCAGTAGCAGGAGAAAACAATCCCCAGGGCTTGTGTCTGATACGAATTCTTGCGTCTTTGTGTTTATCTGCAGTGAAGCCAGTTGTCCTACATGGGCTTGTGAGTCAGCCTTGCTTTGTAGTTCTACCTCATACACAATGACGACTCTTTTGACAACAAAATTTGATTGTTCTTTTAACATATTAAGCAATGAATAATGAGATCTACATCTTAGTAGCAGTTTTTAAATTCCTAGTCTAGCAGTTTACTTATCTCAGGTATGTTTTGTGATACTCTTTACTTGGAAGGAGAAAATCCCAAAGACTAAACTCCATTATTTTAAAAAAGGAAAAGCAAACATCTGTTCTAGTTCCACCATTTAACACTTGGGACATTTTCATAGAAATAGTAGGATATCTTTCTCTGAATCTCACTTTTTGAAGAATGATGGAGTTTGTCATAAAGCTTCTTTCCGGTTTTGAGTGGGGGTGTTAACACAGTGCAGTCACTTTGTCTTTTTGGTAGGACTTGAAACATCATTAGAGATCTTACAAAGAAGTCAGCTTGAATTATATTATCATGGTAGAATATACTATTAACTGCATTTAAGGAACTAGTTCTTACAGTCAGATTGTATCAAATGGAAATCCATAAATTTGGATTTAAAATGCAAGTGTGCAGACATGGCACCTTCTGTAATTTCCAAAATGGAGTTAGTAAATTTATCAACTTGGGCGGCAAAACAAATAATACCTTAACTGATCTCAAGCTGGACAATGGGATTGAGAGGATGATGCTTGGGGAAGTCATGTGCACAGTTAATTCTCTGAGGAAAATGCAGATGTCCCCTGTAGACCAGCAGTACACACAAGTTCATCATAACAGCCCTTTAAGGGCCAAGCACTATTAGAATGGAGGGTCACAGTCACTGTATAATGATGTCAGATATTTATTAGGAGTAAGTGAAGTGGAAGGAAAATCAGGGGAGCAGTAACTAATGTTATTGTTAATGCCTATGAATAAAAGAAAAAAGGCAAAGTAGAGAAGAAGTTTTGAGTTCTTAGAGATGAAAAATAATATATGTACTTTTATTTAGAAAAAAATTAACAATTAAGACAATTGTTAGGGATTTCTAGATATCGGGCAACCTAGGTAAAAGGCAGTAGACTAGGTCTAGGTCATCTCTCAATATTCCTTTTAGTCCCATGAGTCCAGTAAACATATATTTGTATATATAAAGAATAGTTTCTCCCTTAAATCCCATTAAAGGGAGAAAAAGACTGACTAAATTAACATGTAAATGTAATTAATTAAGATGTAAAATAACGTAAGAATATGCTATATACAAAGAAATACCAGCACTTCTATGTTCACTGCAGAACTATTCACAGTAGCCAAGGTGGAAAAAAACTTTAATGTTCACCAACAGATGAGTGGATAAAGAAAAGCTGGTATATACTTATAATGGAATACTACTCAGCCTTGAAAAGAAATTCTGTAATATGCAACAACTTATATGAACCTTGAGGACATTATGCAAAGGGAAATAGTCACAGAAAGATGTACTGCATGATTCCACTTATATGAGATTTCTAAAATATTCAAATTCATAGAATCAGAGTGTAAAGTGGTTGCCAGAGGCTGGTGGTAGTGGGAAATGGGGAGTTACTAATCAGTGGGCATAAAGTTTGTTCAGCAAAACGAGTAGTAGAGATCTGCTGTACTGCACACGTAGAAGAGTTGTGAAGAGGGTAGATATCATGTTAACTGTTCTTACCACAAAAAAACTTTAAAATATGCTGTATATTTCAAGTGGAATTCTGTAAAGCTCACAAAAGAACCTATCTATCTAACATATATACTGAGTGCCTGAGCATCTACACATTATTCTCTTCAGAGGGGAGCACCTTAGAGTAAAATGAAAGAACACTTCTAGAACTTTGGTTCCCAGGGGAAAAAACAGTAAAAAGCAATAGTACATTGAGCTTTCAGAAAGTATCTTTAAATGATCACTTGGGTATTCAATTTAGACATACAATGAAAGAAGGAATTAATTTAATGTTGTTTAATGTTTCTTTTTAGTTTCGTTAATTCTCCAAAATAATGAATACAATGAAAAGGGAATGTCTTACTCAAAATGGCATTAGAATAGGAAGTTCATAATTTCAAGAGAAATTACTAAGTTGCACATTAAAGCATTCCCACTGTCTATATCCAGGTGGAAAGTTCTTACAGTCTGTAAAGATACTCTCACTCTTAAATAGACAAAATAATTTATAGTCACAGAATACATCCACTAGAAAGAAATTATTTTTAATATCTTTAACATATTTAAAAAAAACAAAAGCAACAATTCAATGAGGATCCTTCCATTGTTCTTTGTACAGATTTAAATGTTATGTAATTTATCAGTTACATTTATAATCAATAACCTTCCACTCACTGAGTTTAGAAACCACAGTATTTACTGAGCTAAACTCTCTCACCAATAAGGCACAACAACTACATGATCACACGTAGTAAACAATACAAATGAATCCAAAAACTAAACAAAATATTCATGCAAAAGTATCTACAGAAGCTATGAATATATGATCCAGTTCAAGTACAGGATGTCATATACACAACTGCATCATGTTACAATAAATTCATTACTTCTACACAGAACTTGGCTATTTCCAATTCTATTTTATACAATTTTACATAGATTTAGTAAGTTTATGCACAGTATTCACATCTGCAACAATAACATTGATCATTAAAATTCAGGCAAAGGGCAATTAAGACACTATAATGTGTGGCACATTATTACAGAATACCATTCATCAAGCTCATGTCTAGGAATACTAAATTGATGGCACATTTAAATCTTATGGATCAAATCATCCATGGTTTCATAGCCAAAGTGCATTAAAAAAAACTGCTATAGTCAAATAGGTCATGAATATCAAAATATATAATCATAATTTGCTCTCCACTTAAAAGCTAAACATTTTTGTGCAAATGCAAGTTTAAAAAAAAAGTGGCTCTGAAGTTCCCAAAACTATAAAATAATCATAAAGCCTTTTCAGGAGAGATGGGGAACTAACAAATTTGGGAGTTACTATTTAACATTACTGTAAGGAAACTATTAAACTAGCTAATTCCACATTAAGAGGTAGTTGAACAAAATTATACACTGCATTGAGGTTTTTGTGTTTTTGTTTCCCTCTTTTTTCTTCAAAATAAGTCCTATACCAGCAGCTTTGTCTTCTATTAAAAAACAATCTGTATGTGTAGTTTATTGTATGCTAGCCCAGCAAGACTCGATTTTTACCTCACGTTTTCTGTGCTGGGGTTTAGAATTTACTAACGTAAGATGCCAGTATGCTTTCCATGAGAGCTGGAATGTATGTACCAGCTCCAAATCACTGACAGTAGTACCAGCAGACATCTAAAATGCAGAACCATTTAAAGAAAAACTTTAATTTTTGTTTCCCAAACACCTTAAGTTGGTGAGATTAACAGGAAAATATTAGGTGTCATTTTTAATTAGTATAGTAGCCTAATCATTTAGGACCTATGAAATGAGATTAGCTAGTTGAAAAGTAGAAAATTACTCAAACATGGTTTTATTTGTTGTCCCCACAATTTTTTGTGTGAATATGTAGGGCAGGAGGGACAAGACAGGAGATGAACTGAACAATATTCTAATCCCGAAGAATTCTCATGAAGTTTCATTATCTTAAAAAAAATAATAATCAGTGGGGCTGTGAATGTTTTTCCAACATACTTAAGTTACTTATATATAAAAGTGTAGAATTAAGACTATTTGCATAATTTTAGCTCAATTTCTATTATCCAACTATTATTTTTAATAAAGAGCCATTGTATTTCTTCATTCTGTATGTTCAAGAATATGTATTTATCCAAGTCCAGGGACTCAGTCAGGGTCCTTAGTAGCTACTGACAACAGAGTTTTACTTAAATGGGTTTTTTTTTTAAATAATTAAATGAATATATGGCAATCTTTTAGTTTATGTATGTATGTAATAGGTAGAAAATAATCATTTCAGCATGATAGTTGAAAGCAAGTGTATATTATAAACTGTTAACTGTAAATGAAACATAAGCTTCCAGCCTTCCCTATTACCAAATGATAGCACTGAACAAATATGTAACTTTACATTTCTTCTCTAGAGACAGTAATGAATCAATATTAATGACTTTTCACAAGTTTTCAAATTTTCCAAATTAATAAGACTATGATAAAGTTCAATTCCATTGTTCAGCATACAAATAAGCTAATTTTTAATTACTTTCAATTAGCCATTCTGTTTCAGTTCTGATTATAATTTTGGGGTTCCCAAATACATTTGGTTTTGGCAATACTCTATTACCCAACTGTTATTTCAAGATAATTTCATAGCATTATTTTTGCAAAGTAAAGTATTTACAGTTGATATGGAACCCCAAACTCAGAACCTTTTAAAATTAAAAATAAGTTCACAACGTTAAAAAAAAATTCTCTATTAAGTCAAGCAGAATACTTAATGTCTCCTTACCATTTAGTATTTGTTTTCACAGATAAGACTGTAGCAATATCAGTTACTAGCTTTAAGATGCAAAATTACAAAACAGTTACAATGAAGCTGAGCTATGCTTGGGAATGTTAAACCAAATTACCTTGAAAAAAAGCAGATCCATTAAAAAAGCAAATTCAGATTCCTGAAGATGCTGGAGAGACAAAACGAGGGTTTAAGTCAGAAAACTTCCCACTTAGAAGAAACAAAATAGAATCATTATACATCTTCTTTTATTTACCTTCCAATTTGGGGGGAGGGTGGGGAATTTTGTAGGATTCTTAAGACTGTGGGAGTTTAAAAATGAGATAGAAAAAGATAAAAAGAAAAATATTAACCCTGATCTACACAACCAAGAGAATTTTATCAATATTGTTAAAATAAAAACCATGTTTGAATTAATGGTTAATACATATTTTAACATAATCTGTATTTAGAACATTTTAGTAAATTTTTATCATAACAATGCAACTGAGCTATGGACCTAAGTATAAGAAAAAAGAAAGTTTATAGTTCTCTGTGTGACTTCACAAAGTGAATATTTAATTAATGTGTTAGATATGGTAACATCCATGTACATTTCTGTACACCAAATTTGGGAGAAAGACAAAGTAAGCTATGGAAGAGTATTCATGTCATTTGTGAACAATGAAATTATATTTAAAAAAATACATTGCTATTTTCCATTCAAAGTTTATTTACATTTCATTGACTAATTCTTAACTTGGTATGAACGTTGTTCCAAGGTTAAATGGAAAAAAGTAATGAAAGATGAGCCCAAGTCTCACAAAAATAGAAGAGTTTTACTTGATAACATCCCAAAATATACGAATTCTAATTTGGTTTTGTATTGCAACCACTGTCCAAATCAAATAGTAGTAGTCCAAGACCTCTATTAAGTGCATTTATTAAAAATCTAATGTTAGTGTAGTATTACTCTGAAGTTGTGATAATCCATTATCCTTGCAAGTCATTGAAACATGCATCACAGACACGAACAGGCTTCTTGGAAGAAGGAGTTAAGGCATTTTTGGCTGAACACTCAGCACAGAAGATATTTCCACATTGTCTGCAGTGATGCTGTAAATGACAAAAATTCAACAATTTCAAGCATAAAAACTATACCAAAAGTATTATGAGACTATAAATATACTTTCACAGTGCAATTTTCAGTATTCTAACTTCTAAGTGATTAGTGTATTATTTATATTACTTAATAATAACAAAGTTTCATTATGTCAACTGAATCCCTTGGTTAATTTGAATGCTTTGTATTTAGATACCATGCTAAACATTTATTATGGAATTTATCTTGAAAGTTTTTGTTTTGTTTTAAAGTGGAGGCAGATTTATTCAGGGAGATATACACTCCATAGACACATTGTAGGTCGTCTCAGAAGGCAAGAGGCCTAAAAGTGTTTAATAAAGCATTTCTATCAGGTGAAAAACTATTCCTATTTGTCAGATGTTTCAGGCATAATTTCTTCAAAAGGAATATAAACTTGAAACATCACATGATGGTATTATTTAAGTTTTTTAATTTCTGCTTTTACTTCCTTTAAAAGAACCTAATGATGACTAAAACATGAGTTTAATGCTGATGCACTGATTCAGAAAATGAGTATTCTACAGAGTAACTCAGTAGGAAGGCAACAACTGAATTTAAAACTAAAATTGAAACACATCTGCTAACCAGAAACTAGACTGCATGAAATTTAATCATTCTATGTAGTTTTAAATTAATAAATGGCAAAACTTTTAAAGTCTGTCAGGACAATTTTGATGGTTAAAATATTGTCACTAAGGAATAAAATCCAGAAACACAGTAATATAACAAAGTCATTTACCCGTCTCACTGTTACTGAAAAGCCTTTCCCACAGGCCATACAGTTTTGTACTTCATTGTCTTCAGCCCACTTTCTATTCAAAGCTTGTGTATGTTTGATCTATTAAAAAAAAGTTACAATATTGTTACAGTAGTCAATGTTGTAAAGAATGACTGATAATTTCTAATTCTGTGCCTAAGTTTTTAAATGGATAACATTGTAAAAATCAGAAAATGTTTGGTCAAGTTCTGTTATCAAAAGATGCTACATTCTTAAGTATAAATGACAAAAAATAAAGCAAAGTAAAGCAAATTTTACTCCCCAGAGGCACTGGTAATTTCTAACCTTTGGTGATTTCCCTTTCATTCTTCCTTGGGACTCTTGAGCATATATTCACATCACTTTAACACATAGTGACTCATTCTTTGTTCTTGACTTCTCCCAATAGTGACAGGTCATGAATGACATGGTGCTCTAATCCCTGGGATCTCAGGTAAGTTCTTTAAATCTTATATTTAATTACCCATGACACCTACAATACTGTTACACAGTAGCCATAAGTATATCAGATTTTTGTTAAAGGTGAAAATATGCTTTTCATTAAGAGGTAAATTCTAGACTAAAAACCTGCCTCATATCACAAGTCACAAGGTGACGTACTTGAAGGGACTGATTTTCTCTGCCCAGCTCCTGCACTGCTGCTGTTGTGTTATCCAGCTTTCTCTGCAATTCTAGTACTTTGGTTTGAAGTTTTTCTATTTCCCCTTCTCCTTTAAGACACCTAGAATGGATTGCAAAAACAGTTAATTTTTAAAAAATCATTAAAGATCCTCCCTGAACACAGGTAATGAACTACATAGTAATTTTAAATATAATACATGAATTTCAACTGGCTGACTGTTGTAAGGGTTAATTTTTAAATGGCTGCTTAAATAGCTGCAGGAGCACTTTTCCCAAGACTTCTGTTTTTTTAAACGTGAAATAAGACCGTCTTTTTTATCACTTAGAACGGGAATAAACTAATTTCACTAGACATCAATCACCTTTCTAGTAGTGCTCTTCTTTCATCTTGATTATTCTGAACTGTTGCCTCCAATACTGCAATTTCACCCCGTAAGTCATCTGTCTGTCTCTCGAGCTCGCCGACTCGCCGTTGGTTGGACTGCCACTCCTTCTTTACGGTGCCCAAGTTTTCATTTAATGCTGTAATCTGCATGGTAAACTTGGCTTCGTTTTCTTCATGCTTCTTCATTCCTACTTCTTTTTCTTTTATTTCGGAATGCTGAGAAAAGGAAAAAATAGTGGGTGAAAAAACCATTACAAAAGTAGTACAAAATAAACCTTAGTTGTTAATTTTAAATATTGGCAACATAAATAATCCTACTGCTTTAGGAAAGAAGGCACTAATGAAATGGATTCCACAAACATCTGTGTGATTTGAACTGGCTTAAAGGCAATGATGCTGAAATGACGGTCAGCAAGCCTCTTATAAAATCAATTTGAGATTTTTCCCTTTTTTTCCCCACTAGAGCAAGGGAAAAATAGTTAGGGATACCAAGGTGCCCTGGAGACAAAGCCGGCATTTTCTTATGTCTCAAATTCCACATGCATCCTTTTGCCTGTATCACCCTGCCAAAAAACAATACTTCAAATCACCGTGTGAACTTGAAATTGCAATTCCTTAACAAAAACATTGAGCAGTCAAGTTATCTGGGGATATTTGGACTTAATTCAGTAGAGGAAAGCCAGATGCTTCCCATTTGGCAGGCACAAGTTAGGGAAGGAAAAGTAGACTTTGGTCATCATAATTCCAAACTGAAGTTTCCGTTCCCCCTTATCAGCATTCACTTTGACCAAACAAATGATGTTTTTGAACATGATCAGCATTCATGCTAATCTACACAGGTATGAGTTTGTTTGTTTCTCTGGCAGTAGAAGTGTTTTTACTTTTTAAATAATGTTTTGTTGGATTTTCACTTATTACAGAATAAAATATTTCCAATCACACGTCAGCTATTTAAATAAATCAGATCTCCTATCAGCCAAAAATTAAAATGTTTGGTGAGCATCTGAATCATAACTTTTAAGAAAAATCCTCTTACTGGAATAATTTACAAAATCAATTACAAAACACACTTCTCGCCATTAATTACAGACCAGTTTAGCTTCCTTCTCCATAAATTCCTTCTTCAGCTCATCTTCTTCCTTTCTCATCTGCTCTTTTAGCATTTGCTGGTTTTTCTTCTCCTGTTCAAGGGTTGCCTTCAAAGAATCAACTTTCCCTTGAAGCTCTAATTTCTGCTGAATCAAAAGCTGTTTGGCATCCTTGAGATTTGTTACCTCCTATTTAATAAGTAGGGGCAAAATAAATCATCCGTTAGAGTAAGTATTTCAAACTGTAGCTGAAACTTATGCAACTTATTACAATATAAACAATACGAGTTTGAGTCTCTTATGAGATTCTTGAGGTTCAGTATTTTAAAGTTAGTTTAAAAGGTGCAAGATTATTTACTTCCTGCTCAACAATCATTTAAATTCAAGTGATGCTTTGCATGCATATGTTGATTAAATTATGTGGAAAATTTCTACCCTCTATTTTCCCTTTCTTCATTTAGCAAGCATTTATCGGTCACCATCTAGGGAGATACCTAAAGATAAATTATATACACTCCCTGCTTTAAGGAAGTCTGGAAGCACATAATGGCATAAAGAGATAATCATAAAACAGAATGGCAAATATACTGATAAACATTAGTATTATGAGAGCACTCAAGAGAGAATCTAACCTTTCTCTAAGAAAATGAATAATATTTTACAAAGTAAATTATAAACAGTTTCTTCAGCTGGCTCCTTAGCCATGCTAATGACAGGAAAAATGTTCTAAACAAGAGATTACTAAAAGACTTTAGGAAGAAGAACAATTTTAAAAATGGACTCCCTTAACATCTTAATTCTAAATTCTTACATATTTCAAAGTTTACTATCTACAAGCATAATTTTCTTAATCAGCAGCTCTCTTATCATCTCAAAATCTAAACTTTTAGGATTACTTTGTGTTATTCAATAATCTAAAAACAAAAGTAACAGTTTCAATATGTGTATGGATGTTATGCAATACAAGAGCACTGTGAGAGCAAGAGTATTTGTCAAAAACAGCAAAACAATGTGCCTGGAACATAGTAGGTTCTCAATCAATAAGTATATATTTATATAATTTTTTTAAACACTAATACAATACAGAAGGAAGAATAATGGTTATCTTTACATACCTTTATGCTTTCTTGCTTGTGCAATTTGAGTTCTTCACTCAGTTTAACAATTTCTTTTTCTTGTCTACACTTAATTTCCTCTAACTCTGCCGATTTAGATTTTTCATTTACTAGTTCTTTTTCTTTCAACGACTGTATAAAAATGATTTTAAAATAATTTTAAAGTAAACACTTAACTGAAAATGAATGTAATAAGCCCCTTTCCACCTAAGTAAACTTGAACAAATTACTTACCTTCTCTTGCCTCTATGTCCTTATTTATACAAAATGAACAATAATAGTATAATAGTAAGACTGAGATTAAATAGTTACAGTTAATATAAAAGTACATAGTATTCTTATTTTGACCTGGCACTAAAGTTTAGCCAAAGCTACCATCTTACGCTTATTAATAATATAATCATTATTACCATCACTATCTTTATATAAGGCATCTGGGGGAAGTGTTATACATTATCTGGTTTAACTCTCTATACCAAGTAGCTCTTTTTAATCCTTAATTTACAAGTAAAGGAAATTAAATAATCTATTAGAAGCAGAACCAAAACTAAAACAAGATTTCCCTGATCTAAAGCCCTTGCAGTTAAAGGCCTATAAAGTATAGTTCTGTCAAAATTTTCAAAACTTGACTTAAACAAAGCATAAACTTCATAGCTTCACCAGCCCCATCCCCACAAAAACATCCCCAAATTTTTAAAGATAATTTCAGGAATTTCATAAGATACACCAAGAATTTCAGGAATTGTACAGTTAAGAATAATATCCTATCCTATCAGCTGATGGAAATAAATGATTTCAATTATGAAATTCAAAAATAAAATATTTCCTAGAAACTGAATTTCTCTTTCACATGGAATTTTAACTGATCTTTAAAGGTACTGGTCATATAATACAATGCTTTCAATTTTATAACTTAGCATCATTTATATAAAATATACCCCTACTTCCTCTTAAAAAAAGCTGGCTCTTAACTTTAAGAATTTTTAACAAGCTTAAGAATTATTCCATTCATACATCCAGAGGATAACATGCTAGTAAGAAATAGTTGAGAGAATATAATACTTATTTTTGAATAACCAAGGGTCTGAGATGTAAAAAAACAGATTTGTTCGTACAACTAAAAAGAGAAGTAACAAAATGGGTAGAAATGACAAAGAACCTATAAAGAAGTACTTCCTAGCATTAGAATTCCAGTTAGCTGCTGAAAATAAAGGTGACACCCATATTGGGTAGGAGGTTTGACTAGATGACCTCTATGGTCATCATAACTCTAAGATTCTAGATTTAGTCAGAATATAAAATACCTTTTCTTTCTGAATATCTTGTAGTGCTTTACACTGCTCCTTCAGTTGCTGTTCTTTCTTTGCTGAATCTTGCTCCAATGTAGCCTTGGCAGTCTTTAGTTCTTCAATCAATTTATTTTGGTTTCCAATTTGATTTCTGTTTGAAATCAAGTCCTCCTGTGCTAGAGAAAGCTTCTCTTCTACAGACTTATAAAAACAATTTCCCCCAATTATTATGTGTCTTTTTTTTTTTTTTTTAGAAAATTTCTGCAGAAACAAAGCAGTTAACACTAGCATAGTGGAAAGTAATATACTTTAAAAAGATAGTATGTTATGCCCTTTGGTAAGATGACACAAAAAGAATGCTAGGTAATTAACTCTCTTGCCTATGGAAAACATTTATAGTATAAAATACTTTATAAAACTGAAGCAATTCTAAAAGTTCTAAAATAATCTATAGGTATTAATATGAAGAATATCAAATAAGTAGCAACTGTATCTAACACATTCAGAATATATACATGGTTAGAAGATATGGGTAGGCATGAAAAAAGAGTAATTTAAAAAGATAATAAAATGCTGTATGATATGTACATTTACATTTTATGGGATCTGATGTCCCTTGACATACTTTCTAAAAAATAAAAAGGATTTTTTGTCTTAGAGGTAATAAACCAACAACTGTGTTACAAATCTGCCAACCTGATCAAGTGAAAAAAGAGCAAAGTCAACTAGACTTCTGAGGCTCTATTTCTGACAAAGCCATTACCAGATCCTTTTAACTTCTCATCTGTTTGGTAGAAGTAGCACTGCCACTTACCATAGTCCAAAGTTACTGACTGTTCTAAGGCCCAGATATTTTGAGAAGCTGAAGCTGAAGCTGGAGGAAAAAGCGAGCTTTTTGACCTATGAGGTTTTGATTTGGGGGTATATTTGGTACCACGTGGGTAATGAGAAATGGCAGGAACCTTGCTCCTCTCAGCTAAGAATCAATATAGGAGGGAAATATAAGATGCTCTTCCACCATCTAGAAGTTGTTTATCTTTCTTATTCTGAAGACTTGTGTTTTTGAAAAGGAGGCATAAGATACAATTCACAAAAGATCCCTGCTGGTTAGACTTGGCTGTAATAGGCATTCAATAAAAAAAAATGAAAAATAAGTGAATGAAACCTTATGTAAAGTACTCACTAAGCTTCCTGAAAGAGAAAGTTTATTCCTTACAAATAATCCAGTTCAGAAATCTTTCTGATACAAATTAAATTTCCATTTTCAGTGGCTTCCAATAGAATAGTAAGGACCATAAAGCTTCTTTTTGGGGAAGGACCTAAATCATCTAGTCCTTTACTAATCAAGCAGCTAACCATTCATTGAGCACACTTCTGAGGTAGACAGGAGGCTAAAAGATGGTCCCTGACAAACAGAACCAGCATGTAAAACAGAAGCTGTACAGGGTAGCAGAGCACTTGCTATGCACCAGATGCACAGAAAAACGAGTGAGAGAGTTCGCTGTGAAATGTTTACAGAAGGCTCTGTGGGCATACAGGAACTGACCTAAGTATCAAAAAGGGTGAGTGATTTCAGAGAAAGAGAGTAAAATTTGACAAAGCCTAGTCCATACAGTCTGCAGCAAGAGTAATAATTAAGTGATACAGGTCCTGATCTAATGCTAAAGAATAAAGGCTTGCTGGAGCCCAGAAGCAACAGTACCCCCAGTCTCTGACCACAAGAATTCCAAGATGCCCATGGTTTAATTAACAGCCTATAAAACTTCAAACTGATAAAAACTTAGTGACTAAATCTTTTAAGTCAAGCTTAAAATCTACACTAGTGTCTTCTGAATATGCCCAGACATACTGCTCTACTTTGCCTCTGAATATTCATCTAAGTCATTCAGCAGTAAGCTGCCATGCATTTCAGATATTCCTTTTGTCTTTCTTGTTGCAGACCATGTTATTTTCATCTGCTTAGCATCTTTCCCCTTAGAGAATTCCCTCTCACATTCAATGGTTTTATTGGGGCTATCTTTAACCCAACTACTCCCAAATAAGCAAATCCCTGAGTAGATAGCTACCAGCCCTGTCCCAGTCACATTACAGCAGTGTAGCCAAAAAAGAATTTCTGCAGTGTTCTGTAGTAGCTATTGTTGGTTTTGGTCTCAACAATTTTTCCCTTCCTTCTTTCAAAATAAAACTTAACATTTTAGTTAGTACTTTTCTTGATGTCTGATGAAATGACATAAGGAATAGTATTAGACTAAGAAGATTTATATTTAATTCTAAACTTATTATCCTAGAATTTTCACTTCACTTAGGGTACAGAACTTACAGTTAAATTCCACCTCTACCTTTCCTGGACAACAAAGACTAGTACACAGCATAGCCAAATTGAAATAGCCAGTCAACAAAAGTAAGTATTTCATACATAATCCAGCAGATGGGGCTAAAGGCATAGATCAAGCCAGTCAGTCTTCCATTCTACTGGTGTCTTGGTGTGTGTATATCGTCAGCCCACAGATGGCAGCCTTGACTTAGGTAGGTATGTGTTATGTCACAAGGTTCTGAACCTCTCCCTTTCTCTTATACCTAAGATCATATAACATCACTGAAGCAAAAGACAAATAATGGCTGATAACTTAGCCCTTAATCTGGCCTGTAAATATTATTTGTACTTCCCTAGTAAACTTCTTAAATAGTTCAATTACTTCTCATTTTGGAAGAATTAACATAGAATTTGTCAGTCCTTTCAGAGGTTCCCAGTTATTTTAGGATAAAGTCCAAACTTCCTCAAAACTTTCCCTGACTTCCAATAGTATTGTAAAGAAAAAACAGTAATAATAATTTAAAGCTACTTAGAGAGTATAGAAAGTAAGACACTTTCTAAATGTCAGGTGGTAGGCAGGGTATAGCTCAGTGGTAGAGTGCTTAGCACGCACGAGGTCCTGGGTTCAGTCCCCAGTGCCTCCACTGAAAAATAAAGTAGGCCCATCCATGTTGCTGCAAATGGCTTTATTCTTTTTATGGCTGAGTGTAGTATTCCATTATATAAATAAACCACAACTTCTTTATCCAGTCATCTGCCAATGGACATTTAGGTTGCTTCCATGTCTTGACTGTTGTATATTGTGCTGCTGTGAACATTGGAGTGCATGTATCTTTTCAAATTAAAAGTTCCCTCCAGATATATGCCCAGGAGTGGGATTGCTGGATCATGTGGTCTCTTTTTAGTTTTTTTGAGGAATCTCCATACTATTTTCCATAATGGCGGCAAATGACATGATAAAGAAGTTGTGGTGTATTTATACAATGGAATACTACTCAGCCATAAAAAAATAAAATAATGCCATTTGCAGCAACATGGATGTCCCTGGAGATCATCATTGTAAGTGAAGTAAGCCAGAAAGAGGGGAAAAAAAAATACCATATGATATCACTCATACGTGGAATCTAAAAAAGGGGAAAAAGAGGACACTAATGAACTCATTAAACAATCTTATGGTTACTGGGGCAAAGGAGATGGAAAGGGATAAATTT